TATATTTCTGATCTTCTGATATATCCTCTGTAATAACATCCTGCAGTCTGGGAAGGGGAGGATATTTGGTTATAGTTAATTATTTCTGGATTCTTGATAGACTTACTGAAAAAACTTCCCAAACCTCTCTGAGTTCTAATTATTCTTGATCCAACTGAGGAACATCTATCCATTTTTCAAACATGAATCTGTGATGGGGTGTTTGGAATTTTCCACACTATATCTTGGGATGCAGAGGACACCTTTGCCAGTATAGAGTTTATCTGCTGTTACACAGAGGAAATAGAAGGCCTGGAGAACAGTGCCTCAGAGATCTCTCTCCTGAGGCAAAGAAACTTGGAGCAATCAAACACTATTATGGAGGTGATCTGTTGCTAAATCCCCTTTTCAGTATACTATTACTGGAATTTAGAGATAAGTGCTATATTCATCAGGAAAAACTCATTAGAGGTACTGAAGGGGCTTCCTGAACTGAAACCGAGGAGTGGGATAAAGGTTTTGCTGCTGGTATTTGATACTCAGGACCTGGTGCATCTCAAATGCATGTTTAGAGCTTGGTAGTAGCAAGGTATTGGATTTTAGGAGAGGAAATTTTTCAGAATTAGGTAGTTATTCCTATTACATCCATCAAAAAAATTTCTTGTACCTTGAATGAATCAGTGTTAACTTGTGTACACTATTCTTTGTTAGTATGGTAAAAAAGTATTTCCAATGCAGTTACATCGGGAGATTACTGATTTCAAAGAGACAAAGTTGTATTTTGATGCAGCAATAACTTCTGAAATCATCCTCAATAAATCCAAAAAGGTAATTCCATCTGGGTCATCCTTTACTTCCTTATTAGGAGGTATTGCATCTATAGGACCATGTGTATTGCAAGGTATTATTTGCTTGCCTATGACTATCAAATTACTTGTGAACATTCAGTTTAAATTTGACTCAGAGCTGAATTATGTTAAACTCCACATTCTTCCCTGAGATTTTTGAGAGTCTGGTCATCAAAGATGTGTAAGTTTTTTTTTTAGCACCTTTCAACCTAAGTGTGGGGCCCCACAGATATGAGCTTGTTCCATGTTAACTGGAGTTCAGAGAGTTTGAGCCTATTAATGCTCTTTCATAGTTCTTGGCAACAGATGTGGCTATAAACAGGAGATTCTGACCTACAGTGTGGTTAATTAGTATTTTAGGTATAGATGTGGATTTGCTCCACCTGGACCAAAGGACAGAGAATTCAAATCTATCCTTTATATCATGTTAATTAAGTCTGTTGCATCCCCCCTCCCATTTTGGAGTGAAATACAAAAGCATGTGAAAAATAAACAAGGCAGGTTTGATATTCACTGAATTTTCCTCCTGATGCTATTCTGTGTTTTTTCTCTCTTATTTCTCTTATATTTCTCTTATTTTTGACTAATAATTCTGATCCTCATTCTCCTACCCTGTGATGTATGAATTTCATTAAGGTTGGTCTTCGACAAATGACAAGTCAATGTGGTGCTTTTGACTTGAGACATGTGACAGATAATGCATGGAATTGTGGTTAGTGTCTCAAGAGAAAACATAGAGGACTCAATTAAGCAAATATTATACCCCAGGTATAGAGGAGAGAATTGAGTGCTCAATAATAGTTGATAATAGTCAATAAAAGAAGAAAGTCAAGAGATAATGTATTGGGAGTAAAACTGTGTATAACTATAGATATGAGACATTGATTTCAGTTTATTTTGATAGCTAGAGAAGCAGGAGTGGAGCAAAAACAAATGCAGAGGTTTTGAAAGTTTGTAAATATTCTGTTCCCTCCTCCATATGAGAGGGATAGCAGCCACCAACTCCAAACAGCTCCAGGAATCAAAGAGGTCAAGGTGTGCCCCCTTCCATGCTGGTCAAGCTGACCTGCAGTGCTGTAGACACAGAGCCACAGCTATTGCCACTGCTGAGTGGGTATGACAATGAAGGGAGCATAGAGCATGAGGCATGAGGCCAAACAATAGCCGGCTATCACTGAACTGATTACATATGTGTAATTTAGCTACCAAGTATTGCAGAGCCAGGCCATGGTCTGCCACAGCAGTCACTGCTGAGCTGGCAGAAGAGTGCTATAGGCTATTGTCCCCAAGTCTCCATGCACATGCTGTAGCCAGTGTCTTGTAAGTTTGTAAGCAAAATATATAGCTCAATAAAATCAATAATAATAAACAAATAAAAATAAAATAATAATAAAATAATGATAGCTTACAAACTTTAAAAGGGGGAGATATACCCTCAGTATTTGTTGGAAAGGACCCAATCCTGTGTTACTATAGAGGCTAAGGCATATTTGTGCTTTGTTCACAGGAAGAATATAAAACTTGCTGAGATGACTCCATGTAAAACAGAGGAGTACCAGGCTTGATGATATCATAGATGCTGATATTCTTATAGAAGAGGCATAATGAGGTACCTGAATCTATGTTCTTGACTTATGCCATCATGCTACAATCTTTAAACATACAAGTTTCATCAAGACTGGTCTTTGACACCAAGACGGGACATAAGTGACAGAATTCATGTACCAAAGATCGGTAAGATGGATGATTGAAAAAGGAAATCTAAGATGGGCACAGTTATCTGAGGGTAAAAGGGGAGAAATTTATGACAGATGCTTAAAAGAAATTCCATACTCACTCAGAATTGAGTATAATAGAGGGTTATTTATTTAGGGGTAGGCTCACAGATCAAAGTTCTCTGCTTGAGTGAGGCACAGCAACCAAATCCCACAACTGAAAGAGAAACTGGACCCTTTCTTTACATAGGCATTAATAGTATAAGAGGTCATGCACAAGTGGGTGGGTAACTTAAAGTCTACTGGTTGTACGAATTACTACAGCATCTCCCCTTTTGTTTAAATAAGAAAGTGCTAAGCCTAACACAAAATTATATGCACAATATATAAGAACAAATATCAGGTATAAAAATGAAAATTACAGGGCTGGAGAGAGGGCTCAGAGGTTAAGAGCACTGCCTGCTCTTCCAAAGGTCCTGAGTTCAATTTCCAGCAACCACATAGTGGCTCACAACCATCTGTAATGAGGTCTGGTGCCCTCTTCTGGCCTTCAGGCATACATGCAGACAGAATATTGTATACATAATAAATAAATAAATATTTAAAAAATGAGAATTACAGCCACCATAAACAATATTAAGCACGAAACATGATAAATGTTTCAATAATCATCCTATCCTAAGGAGTTTCTTGTAACTTAACCATGTCATGAGAGGAAAGTAACTATAACTATCTGGTCTTCAACCACATTGAATATGCAAGAAAGGAAATAATATTACTTGACCAAGCAGGAAGAGCGATCAAATAACTTCCAAAACATATAACAAATGACAGAGACAACTGGCTACCCAGGCAATCACCCAAAGTCTCATTTGCAATGTTGGACCAACCAACTTTGACTAAGGCCTAGGGTAACTGGCAGACAATTTTCAGAGGCAGGAAAACTTTCAAAACTATTTTACCTTGTCCTGGTATGATTTGAAAGTCTTCTTTCTTATATCCTGCTTGTCCTGTCCAGACATGGTGCATTTTTTTATTAATTAATTTATTTGTTTATAAAAATTTCCACTTCCTCCCCTCCTCTCCATACCCTCCCATTCTCCTCACTCCCTCTCCTCCCCCCGACTCCCTCCCCTCCTTCCTCTTCAATCCTAAGAGCAGTCAGGGTTTCCTGCCCTGTGGGAAGTTCAAGTTCCTCCCCTGTCCCTCCAGGTCTAGGAAGGTGAGCATCCAAACAGACTAGGATCCCAGAAAGCTAGTACATGCAGACAAAACAAGAACCAGTGCCATTGACAATGGCTTCTCAGTCAGCCCCCATGTCAGTCACATTTAGAGACTCTGGTTTGATCACATGCGCGTTCAGTCCCAGTCCAGCTGGCCTTGGTGAGCTCTCATTCGATCAGTCCCCTTGTATCCAAGGGTGAATGCATCCCACACGGTTCTGTCGATGCATGGATAGTTCTTTGCCCAAAGGCCAGATTTGCCAAGAAGAAAACAAGCTCCAAGTGGAGTGTCTTCAGTGCTCAGCATCCTCTCGGGAATAGATTGGTGTTGCCAGGAGCAATCATGTCTCACATCAAGCAAAACCCTAAGTTATTTAAATACCATATTCTACAGCTCTTTGAAGTGTTTGAAGATTACCTACCTATGTAGAATATAATCTCTATGAATCTAAAGAACCTGATCTGTCTAACTATAAGTATGAAAAACATAGATGACTATTGACCTATAATTCTTAATACTTATATAGTTTAAAGACTGAGACTTCATATAAGAATATTAAATAACCTTTAAACAACAGTGCAACAAATTAGGACAGTGTCCTCAAAATATAAATAACATATAAGTATCTTGATCAGAGGTAGAAATGTATATTGCAATATGCTAAATATATCCTAAAATAGTATCAATATACAAACTATCTTAAGCAGAAGTAGAAGCAAGCATACAAGTATTGTAGATGAAAATATGAACACATTCAATATAATTCAAGTTTATATCAATATACAAGAATCTATACCCAAGTAAATTTCCAATAAATAATAGCTCACAAGTGTTCACTCCATTATTCACTATTATAATTAGTGTTACTATGTTTACACTATGAAGGCAGAGAGATCAGGCACTTAATAAAAGGAATCCCACACTAGCTCAGAACTAAGAAATATACAGGTATTTATTAATAGATAAAACTTACAAATCAGGATTCTCTGCATGAACAATGGATAAAGATGAGATCCAAACAAACTGAACCAGCAAAACCAGAGTCCAGGGGAAAAAGCAGAGAGAAACGGGCCGGCCGTGCTTCCTCATTCATTTAAATAGTCTATGAGGCCATGCTCCAGTAGGCAGGTAGTTGTTAGCTATAAACCTTCCCACAGTACCTTCCCCTTTTGTTTAATTAGGAAGGTTCTAAACCTACTACAAAATTATATACAATAAGAACAAATCTCTTACATCCCACAGAAGAGGAAAACACTTCTCCTTTTTTGCTACTTAAGAATGTGGCAGAAACGTGTGCTGAGGTAGCCCAGTCAATCCTTATTTTTTTTCTTTCATTTTTCTTTTTGTTGTTGTTGCTGTAAATTTGGTCTCAGAATATTTCCGGAAGGGTGACGTTTCGAAGAAGCCACTGCTGGGACCGGCTTCCAGTGCAGTCTCTAATGCTGGGCACCTGGCTGTCCTCTTCCGGGGCTTTATCCAGGCACTGGTTACTGTTCACATGCTGCAGGGTTAATTTCACTGGGTCGTACTCCCAGAGCTGGTTGCCTTTTAGATGGTGGCATTTGAGCATGGTAACTGGGCCATTAAGTTTGGAAACGTCCAAACACAGGTCATCGGTTCTAATTTCTTTGTTGGCAGTATAAGAGAAAACCTGATTGCCTCCCATACCATGACAATTGAAAATTCCAACCTTTTCATTCTCTTTTCTAGCCATGTTATCTAGACACTGATTTGTTTCCACATTTCGTATCTCTCCCAATGAGAAATAGTGACGTGGAATTTGAGAATCAGGGTAAATATTTTCTAGGTACCAAGAGAAAGGTTTGCATTGTAGTTTATGTCTCAGACCAAGTCTTGATGATATATCTCCATAATCTACCTTTGTAACACCTGGAGAAATTATATAGAAGAAATTCTTGAATTCATCCATCCATACTTCTGCAAGTCGTCTATTATTTTTATTGATAATCTGCCCTGTAAGGTTTATCAGCCATTAAAGCTCAGACTCCTCTAGCTTTTCACTTGCTGTGAACCAGCCTTCCTGTCCCAGGACACGAGACTGCAAAGTAGTGAGACTGCGCACACTGATGTTTACAAGACTGGAAGAGTCTTCATCAAGAACAGTGGCGAGTGGCCTTCCGATCCCAGACAGGCGCAGAATGTGCTCTCTGGATAGATGCACCTTCCACAGCTGTCGTGCGCGTCAGCCGTGTCTGCTGAATGTGCCTCCTGAAGAAGAGATCTCCTGATTAGAACCAGTAGCTGAAATATTAAATATTGATAGAAAAGTAAGTGGAAAAGAACTGGAACCAGGTTCAGAATCATGAAAACATTTTTACAACAATAAAAATTATATCAAACAGGGTTTAAAGGAAATTAAAACAGAATTATGAGAAGTACAATTTGTTATAGTATCAGATTTCTATATAGATTTTATACCTCAGTGGGGAAAAATTGATTCCAGTGACATTTATTTTGTTTTCATCTGTGATAGTCATATGGATGCTTTTATTTTCCTTGGGGTGCTGAAAATGAGATGGGGGTGGAGCTCTGAATACAGTTTTGATTCCTTTTTACAATATTTTTATTTGTTTTGTGGGCTGTTGGAATTGTAAGTTTTAATTGCCTTCTTTAAAAAAAATTGGAGATTTAAAAAAAAAAAAAGAACAAATCTCTTATTCTAAATAGCTTAAGTCTTGTGTAATAAATAGCTTGGCAAAGTCATGAAAGAAAAGTAACTACATTTATCTAGTCTTTAATCCCACCAAAGATTCAAGAGGAGAAATAATGTTACCTGAGTAATTAGGAAGTGCAATCAGACAGCTTTCAAAGCATGAAACAAATCACAGAGACAATTGGCTATCTGGGCAATCACCCAAAGTTACGTTTGCAATGTTGAAGCAACCAACTTTGGCTAAGGCCTAGAATAACTGACAGATTATTTTTAAAGGCAAGAAATTTTTCAAAACTGTCTTACCCTGTCTTGACAAGATTTGACAATTCTGCTTATCCATTTCCAGATACTATGTATTTTGTCAGTGATTGAGGTATGGGAGTTCCTTGCCCAAAAATGGGTTTTGCCCAGAAGAAGACAAGATCCAAGTGGAGTGTCTTAGGTGTTCAACAATCTCTCGGGAATAGATCGGTGTTGCCAGGAGTGATTGTGTCTCACTACCACAGAACTCTAAGTTAAATTAAATGCCATTTTCTACAGCTCTTTGAAGAGGTTGAAGATTATCTATTTATACAGAATATAATCTCTATGTATCTAAAGAACCTGATTAGTCCAACTATAAATATGACAAACATAGATGATTAGTGAAATATGATTCTTAATACTTATCTGACTTAAAGACTAAGACAATAAACAACTGTGCAATAAATGAGGACAATAACCACCAAATGTAAACAATGTATAAGTATCTTGATCAGAGATAGGAATGTCCACTTCAATATTGTATATATGTATATATATATATACATTCATACATAAGCAGTATATAAGTATCTTAATTGGAGGTAGAAATGTACACTGCAATAAGGTAAATATTTATATTAAAATATAAAATTGTTTTAAACATAGGTAGATGCATGCATACATACAATATTCAATATAATTTAACTTTGTATTCATATATAAGAATCTATATGAATGTAATTGTCTATAAACAATAACTCACAAATACCAATCTATTATCCTATCATCTGTTTTCCCCTCTTTTTTTCCCAAAAAGATCCCTGACCTTATAAAATTCATCCACTAACCCTCAACCATATACCAATTATAATCAACCCCTAAATAATGTACCTAAGCCTGAGACAAACTTTGCTGGGAACGGGGACGTCATCCTCTAGAATTACTTCTAGCTGTTGTGGGGGCAACATTCTTTCTTGGGGATCCTGTGAAAATAAAATGATGGTTAAAATTTAAGATCAATGTCTGATAAGACTACAAATAGTCTCTGAGTATTTTTTGGAGGTCTGGCCAGAATGTTTTAAAAAATGTGCTCCATTTCATCAAGCCAAGTTGGAACCATCGTGTGTAGCTGGTACCCAAAACAGATCCTGTAGTAGTGCTATCGGTATCATGATGTCATATCAACCTGGTGGAGTTGTTGTTATTAGGCCCCATCTTCTTTCTGGAAAGTTCAAAGATTACTGCAGGAAAATTTATTGTTCATTGTGGAAAACTTAAACAGTAATTACATAGACATATACAGACATATATATTCAATAAAAGGTATGATAGATATGAAGAAAAGCAATGATGTTTTCTAAATTCTTTTTTCCTTCTGTCCCATATCATGGCTCCAGATATGAGACAGAAACTCTGGGTATTTCTCTTAAACACAGGCTTGGAATTAGAGAGGGACTGACCCAGTATCCAACTCCAAAACCAACTCTATATATTTATGAATATAAATAAACATATACATTAACATATATTTTGGATATTGTTACTTACAGAACCTATTCGATTTTCTTTCTGATATATATTGGGTAGTAATTTTTTCCATCTGTCAGTATTCAAACATCCAGGGTCCCTTGAATTTTACAAAGATGAGTGTTTTCCTGTGGAGATAAGAATAGAACCCTGCCCCCATCCTACATGTTTTTCTTACCAACTGTATGATTATCATTATTGTGGATGAGTTGTCATTTTTCCTTTCCAAGAGGTTTCTCCTCTTCAAACTGAAACTTAAAGTTTGATGGTATACACATTTTTTTCTTCCCCTGTGGAAACAAGAGCAAAACCCCTTCCCAAATACAACACATCTCCTGGCTTCCATTGGAAGTCAGCACATCCTTGAAATAAACCAGTTGAATTAATTCAGGAGATTTTCCATTATCCAATGTCTTTCTGCTGCTGTTGTCTCTTTCTAATTAGCGTTAATAAAACTCAAGGTTGATTAATCATTACATAATCTATTTCTGGGGGCATTTTCCACCCCTTTCTGCTTGTTTAACATATCTTTTATAGTTCGATTTAATCTTTCTATAACTGCTTGACCTGTAGAATGGTGTGGTATACCTGTAACATGCTTAATATTATAATAAGCAAAAACTATTTCATTTTCCTAGAGACATGAGCTAGACCATTACCTGTCTTTATTTGTGCAGGTATACCCATGATGGCCATAACTTCTAATAAATGTGTGATTACTGAATCAGTTTTTCTCAGCTTAAAGAAGTTGCCAACTGAAAGCCTGAATAAGTGTCAATGGTGTGATGTACATATTTTAATTTTCCCAATTCTCCAAAGTGGAACACTTCCATCTTCCAGATTACATTCCTTTGAGTGCCTTTCTTGTTAGTCCCTGCAAGTAGCAGTGTTTGATTATATAAAGAACAAGTAGAACATCTCTTTATAATCTCTTTATCTTGTTGCCATGTAATAGAAAATTCTTTGTTTAAACTTTTGCTATTGATATGTTGTTTTTTATGAAATTCTGAGGCCTGCAGTATGCTTCCAATCAATAACTGATTAATTGCTGCATTACCTTGTGCTAGAGAACCTAGCAGACCCGTATAGGATCTGATGCATATTATGTACAAAGAACAAAGTCTGTTCCTAATTATGTCTTGTACCTGGATAAACAATGAAGTCAATTCTGTATCATTTGGTATGAATTCAGTGGTTTCAATATGCAAGATGACTCTTTCTGCTTATTGTAAATCAGTAACTATATTAAGACCATCTTTAAAATCCCTTAGCACCATAAGAATGGCATAAAATTCTGCCTTCTGGACAGAATTATAAGGGCTTTGTTCTACCTTACTCAATTTGTCTGATTTGCAACCTGCCTTCCCTGATTTATTAGCATCAGTATAAAATTTATGGGCTCCTGTTGCTGGAACATAGCATACAATTCAAGGAAGAATCCAAGAAGTTCACTTTATAAGCTTAAGTCTATCATTTTTGGGATAGTTGCTATTAATTTCTCCCCCCAAAATAGCACAAGCTCTTTGGCATGGTTCATTGTCTTCCCATAACTTTTTTATTTCATCAGTAGTGAAAGGCACTATAATTTCTGCTGGGTCTATGCCTGCTAGTTGAAGTCTCAATTTATCTTTTATAATTAATTCAGAGACCTTTTCTACATAAGTTTTTAATTTTTTACTTGGTTAGTGTAGTAAAAAGATTCATTATAAAATAATATCTTCCCTCTGCATTAAAATTCCTGTAGGAGAAATTATGGAAGGCAATATGACTAGGATACAACTAAGAATTGAATTCACCCTATCCACATGTGCCTCCTGTAATTTTTCCTCAAACATTGTCAGTTCCTTTTCTGCTTCAGATGTTAATTCTCTGGGACTATTCAAGTTGTTATCACCATCTAAGGTTTTTTTAAATGAATTATTAGATCAGGTGTTATCCCAACAGCCAGTCATAGACTGGGATGTCTCCTAATAATCTTTGAAAGTCATTAAGAGTCTGTAACTGGTCTCCCCTAATTTATGCCTTTTGTGTCCTAATTTTTTGAAATCCTATTTTGTGACCTAGGTAATTGACAGAATCTTCTCCCTGTATTTTTTCAGGAGCAATCAGCAAATCCCATTTTGGCAAAACTATCTTTACCTCCTCAAACATTCTTTCTAAAGTATCTATGTTTGAATCAGATAGCAAAATGTCATCCATGTAATGGTAAATTATGGACTTAGGGAATTGCCTACATATTATTTCCAAAGATTGACTCACAAAGTATTGGCAAAGGGTGGGGCTATTGAGCATTCCCTGTGGGAGGATAGTCCACTGGCATCTCCTAGCAGGCAGAGAACTATTATAAGTTTGCACTGCGAAGGCAATTTTTCCTCTTTCCTTTACTTGTAAAGGTATAGTGAAGAAGCAGTCCTTCAAATCATTAACTATAAGAGGCCATACTTTTGGTAACGGAGAAGGCAAAGGAATTCCAGACTGTGGAGGGCTCACCGGTTGAATTACCTTGTTAACAACCCCTTAGATCGGTC